TGAGGACAAATCATTTTTGTTTTGTTTTGTTCGTGGTTCTGGGAGTCAAACCCTGTGCCTCCTACACGCTAGAGAATTGTTCTATCACTGAGGTCCATCACCAGCCCCAAGGCAGACAGATTCTGCTAGACTAAGAGGGTCTTCCTGATGTATCCCAAAGGCAGCTCAGTGTTTTAAAGAGAGTTTAGAATTTAGATAAGTGTTTGCAGCATCAGACATCAGTGTGTACGTTGTGGACAAAGGGCTGCCTTACCTACCCAGCCCAAATGTGGCCATCTCTAAGACAGTGGTTCCCTATCTTACCTACCTCCAGTGACCTATGCCAGGAGATTCTAGGTCATTCTGTCCAAGTCGGAGCACTAGAGATAGTACTTTAAATAAGTTCTTTGGGTGATTCTGCAGTGATAGAAACCAATGCTTGTAGCAGTAAGGAAACTTGTCAACCTATTTAATCTGCTGAGATAATAATGGAACCTGCCTCACAGATTTACTATGATGAATAAATAAACTCATACACACATTGCTTAGCACAGTGTCTGAAATAATAAATTAATAATCTTATTAATAATAATAAACATTCACTGAGTACTTTTTTTTTTTTTTGCAGTACTGGGGCTTGAACTCAGGGCCTACACCTTGAGTCATTCCACCAACCCTTTTCTGTGAAGGGTTTTGTTGAGATAGGGTCTCTCGAACTATTTGCCCAGGTTGACTTCAAACTGTGATCTCCTGATCTCTTCCTCTCAAGTAGCTAGGATTATAGGCATGAGCAACGCGCCTGGGTCTCTTAAGTATTGCTTTAGAGTCAGCTACCATATAGAATCTGCAAGAAATTCAAAAACAGTATCAACAGCTCCATGAAAATTTAATCTCATCCATCTAGCACCCAGCCAATGCCCTGCACAGAGGAGACAAATAATATTTGTTGAATAAATGAATGAAAAAATGACACTTACCTTCAAGAAAACTATAATCTGATATAGTGTAAACAGCATAAGAGACAAGTCAGAACCACATTATTTATTAAACTATCAGTACAGGCAGTAGAAAGAGAGCTAATCAAAAGTCCAGTATTGGCAGGGCATGGTGGCCCATGACTGTAATCCCATCACTCAGGAGCCTGAGGCAGGTGGATCACAAGTTTGAAGTCAGCCTGGGCTACATAGCAAGGCCCTGTCTCAAAAAACAAAAACAAAAGTCTAGGGTCAGAGTCCCACTTCAGTCACTTACTGGCTATGGGATATCTATCTGGTCAGTTTACTCTGTGAGCCTGTTTATCCTCTGTGAACATTGGGCTGTCTGGGACTCCCTAAGCACCCTCCCATCTCTGTCTTTCACCAAGACCAAGGCAGGAGCTGCAGGCAGGAGAGGGAGAGCCTGATGGGCTGCAGGATAGACGCCTTCAGCTAGAGGGGAAAGGTGGAATCATCCAGCAAGAGAGGAAGGCTCTTCTGGTTTAAGGAAAGTGGCACCAGGAACAAGAGCAGTAGAAAATGTCTGTATTCAACCTCTTCCAATCACCAAACCAAAGCTAGAAAACCAACTGTCACCAGTGCCACCCATCAACCAGCTCTGTATCCAGCGGAAGAGAAAGAACTGAAGTTTTCTTCCCAAATAGGCTAATCTTTTGTAAAAAGTGTGTTTTCCTTTGAAAATTACTAATTTGCTTCCTGAAAAATACACCCATGAGGGCTCCACCCTAGAAAACTCAACCCAAGAGCTTAGGGAAGATGACAGTCACTTTGATCTTCCTTATTACATGACTTCAACTCTCTTCTTAGCCCCATCCCAGAACCCCCACCTCTCCTCCATGCATCAGCTACTCCAGAAGCTTCATTCTTCTTGGCTCAGTCCTACTCCACCTGGCAGCTGCAGCACGCGATGTTCAAGGACAGGCCAAGAAAACCCTCTGGTTCAGAACCAACCTCCACAGCCTGTACAGAATGAATTATATCTTTCTACAGATGTTTCCTTTCAAATATTTATTCTGGCAAACACCACTACTGTTTTTTACAACTTATTTTAATTGTGTGACTATTAAGGAAGCAGTATCAAACTGTAAAATCAGCACTCATGGCTGAGATTTATGTGATTCACAGAGCAGAGCTTATTAAAAGAATTCACCAGGCACTGGATGCTCAAGCCTGTAATCCTAGCTACTTTTGCGAGGCTGAGATCAGGAGAATCGTGGTTCTAGGCCAGCTAGTCAAATAGTTCATAAGACCCCATCTCCAAAAATAACCAGAGCAAAATGGACTGGAAGTGTGACTCAAGCAATAGAGCACATGCTTTGCAAATCCAAAGCCCTGAGCTCAAACCCAGTCCACAAAAAAAAAAAAAAAAAAAATTAAAAATCCTCTGAGATCAAACCACTCTCTTGAGTGCCTGCCCTCTTTAGGAAGGGGGGAAGCCTTTTTTCAAGTCCTGATTCTGGTTCTGAGCTTCCAGTAAGCAGTACAGAAAATAAACAGTCCCTGTGGGTTGTTTTCATTTTTCTTCTTAGCAATCCTGATGAGTCTAAAATGAAAACTGAGGATAACAGTCATTATTTATCTTTTTTGGTGGCACTAGAGTTTGAACTCAGGGCCTCACTTTTGCTAAGCAGACACTCTAATCACTTGAGCTACCAGCCCTTTGTTGTGCTGGGTATTTTTGAGATAGTGTTTTGCAAACTATTTGCCAGAGGCTGGCTTCAAACCACGATCTTCCTGATCTCTGCCTCCTGAGTAGCTAAGATTACAGATGTGAGTAACTGGGCACCCAATGGGGTAACAGTCTTATTTGCTGAGATACTCACAAGCAAGATCCATGCCTGGAGGATTTATGATCTATGTCTAAGGAGTTAATCGTGAACTTCTGAATATCAAGAACAGGTGTGGGGTATCCTGATTATTTTCTACCACAGTACTTCTTGGTTTGGTTCATTGAACTGCTTTTGACTCCTCTCCAAAATGCACATGTACATAAACAAATAAAATTTAGGGGTTCATGGACACCCCTGAGCCCATCTACAGATTCCCATCTACAGATTCTCACGATTTTCACTGCTGCCACTGAAGCTGCCTTACTTCTCCCCTAAGTAATTACTGTAGTCACTTAACTGGTCTCCTGACTTCTCTACACAGCAGCATATCGATCCTGTGAAAACCAAAAGTAAAATCATGCCATTTCACTGTGCAACACAATCCATTAGCTTCCCATTTCACTGGAAATAACACCAGTGTCTTTATAATAGCTTACAAGGCCTTACAGGATCTGTCTCCTTGATGGTCTCATCTGCTCTCCTCAATTTTATCTTAGCCACTCTAGCCACAGGGATCATTTTGCTGTTCTTGCAAAATGGCACATACATTCTGGGCTTTGATGCTCCCTCCGATGATCTGCATGTGTCTCTCTCTTTCATTCCTTTACATAGTCATTTGATTGGTGGGGCCTTCCTGACCTCTAAAACTCTCCTCTCTTTGTCCCACACCTCTGATTCTCTTTTCTCCATAGCACTCATCTGCATCTTTCAATCTCCTATTTTATTTGCTTATTTTCTATTTTCTACCCTAACTGTTACCCCATGAGGGCGAGATTTTTTCCTATATTCCAAGTCCTATAATTGTGTCTGTCACAGAATAGGTGGTGGCCGAATGATGAAGGAGTCATTAAATTCCGCAGTGGTATGAATGTATCCAGGCTAGGGATGGGGTAAAGAATGAAATTTTAAAAGTCAGGTGCCAGTGGCTCATGCCTGTAATCCTACCTACTCAGGAGGCAGAGATTAGGAGTATCCTGGTTTGAAGCCAGCCAGGGCAAATAGTCTGAGAGACCCTATCTCGAAGAAAAAACCAAAAAGCCATCACCATCACAAAAGAAAAGGGCTGGTGGAGTGGTTCAAGGTGGAGGCCTTGAGTTCAAGCCCCAGAACTGCAAAAAAACAAAAAACAAAACCAAAAACAAGACAAAAAGGCTGCACACAATGGAATCCTGGTTGGCCTCAGTTCACCAAACTTCATATATCCAAAACAAAACTCTTCCTTTTATGCCACATATCTCCTTCTCCCCTCTCATTTTCTGGTTGTTGGTAGCCTAATTGTTTATCTGCTCATTCAAGTCATTCTTATTTTATCAACAGATGAATACACACTTTACCTAGAAGATAGCTTTAAAATGTAAATGATTTTCAGCACATATGAATAAAATAAAAATTTTTTTAAAATGTAAATGATTTTCAAACATGTACCTTCCTCTCCACCCTCAACTGAATTTGTTCAGGCTACTTGCATGTCTCACATGGGTCACTACAAGAACCTTTTAGTTGGTTCCCTTGTCTCAGTCTGTCCCCTGACCAGTTTCAACAGTAATTACTGTTCCCTGGACCCTTACCCGGCTCTCGTTTCCCTTACAGAAAAAGGCCAAACTATCACACAGCACTTACCACCCTCGGGATCTGATGTTTGCTTACCTAACAAGATCCAAGTGTTTGCCCTTTTTCCCACTCTGAACCAGGTCACTTAACATTCTCCGAGTCGGCTTCTCTTTTGTAAAAATAGCCATCTCAAACTCTTAACACAGACTTGAGGTTTAGGAGAGATAATAGACTTTATAAATATATATATAACCAAGAGGTTATATTACTCCTTTACATTTTGTGCCTATCCCTCTTCATTTCAGTAAAAGTTACTTAATACTTACTATGTTCTAGGCAGTGGAAATACAAAAAATACACATTTTAACGTCTCTATCTTTGCCTTTCCCAAGCTCATCACAATAGTTTATCAACCAATATCATTAAGGACTGGATAATTTCTAACAACATGAGACGATCGGGGGGGATTCTAGGGAGTTCAGGCCAGTGAGCGCCCCACTTTCCCTCTAACACACCAGCCTGGGCGGAACTTGACTGCGACACACGTGGCGACTGGGGGTGGGATCTGGGTTCGCTTAGCTCAGGCCGCGGCTGTTGCGCCTGCGCAGTGTCGTCGCCAGCGCAAGGACCCGTATTTAAAGAGACAGGCGCGCTAGCTGTCGTGGGTTACCTGCGGCCTGTGGGCGCCTGGTCTGGAGGCCTGTGCCGAGCGCCGGAGCCGGGGAGGTCGGGAAGACAGGTGAGGGGCGGCGCGGCGTGGGGAGGGCCGCGGGCCGGAGCCGAACGCGGCGCAGCCCTGGAGCAGCCCCCCAGCTCCTCCCCCCGCCCGCCTGCGGAGCCTGGGGGCACACCCTCCGTGACGTGGCGGCCCCCATGGGAGCCCACAGGAGGCCCGCGGTTCCCGGGACCCCGAGGGCCGCGCGAGGGAAGGGTCGCCCCACTCTCCACTCCGAAGTGGGTGCCCCCGGGGTGTTCAGGAGTCCCGGCCCGGCGGAAACCCCCGTTGGCAGTCGTGCCAACGCGACTGGGCTTCGGTCCCGCGGTCCTTGCCCGGCCCCTCGAAAGTGCCGGAGCGCGCGGGGAAACGCGGCCGGACGGGTCTCTGCGCTGCCCCTCTCCGGCCGGCGGCTGCGGCGGGCGGCGGCAGTGAAGGGGACTGCGGGTTTCCCCACCGTGGCGCTGTGCCTCTTCGTGGCCCGAGCGCCGCGAGTCTGCGCCTTCCATTATTCTCCCCTCCTTATGCGGCGGCCGGGCTGCGCTCTAGATCGGTTTCTTAGGAAAGCGTTGAAACCCAGATTGTTCCCAGCTCCTAAGGCCTTCGGTCCTCAACCTCGCGTCTGTGGTCCTTCAACTTTGGGAGCTGTGTAAACCCATTATGACTCTCAAGAAAGTTAGGAATCTTCTCTCCCCACCAAATGGAACATTTTCAGATGGGCACATTTTATCATTTGAGGGAGTTCAGGCTACCCTACACACACAAACACACCACACACACACACACACACACAGTCTCTCTCTCTCTTCTTCATTTCAGGCACACACACACACACCCTATGGATTCTTGTAAAAAGAAAACTGACACACAGATTTCTCCAAGGTAGCGATGCTGAGCTGAGCTTGCTGCCCTCCCTTTCCTGATTGCAAAGTCCATCTCCTTTCTTCTGAACCCTATTGCACGGCAGTAAGTGAAGCCTGCGTTTTATTATAGCATAATAGCAATTTTACTTCACAGCAGTATGCTGAAGATAATTTCCAGTATGTTTAAAATTAGAACTATAAAGGTGCTTTAAAAATATGAATATAAGAAAGTGTGGATATAATCACTGTTTCCACTTGGATTGATTCATCAACTCCTGTGATTCTTACCATTTAGTTACTTTAGGGTCCCTGGTTCAGGTTGCTGAATTAAATGGGTTAATTGCACATAGGGAGCCTTCTGCTTAAAGGTTAACTACTTCCCTGATTATAGTAAGTGCTAATGCTTAGTGAGCCATTGCTGTGTGCCCAACTCTATTCTGAGGGCTTTTCTATTAGAACAACAAACCCTTGAGTTAGATACTATTATTAGCTGCATTTTTCAGATGAAAAAACTGAAAAACAGAAAGGTTACGCAATCAGAGTCACACAGCTAATAAGTGGCTGAGCTAGGATTTGAACCCTGGCAGTCTGATTCTAGGTCTGCTTAGTTAACTCTCAGAAGTGGGTTTCTGTTTAAATCACAAATATATACTGGTTTAATTGTTCTCTGAGGTTGGCATATGTGTTATGCTTCACATTAACACTTCGTAAACAATTTTTCTTGATTAAAAAGAAACTTCAGGATCTTGGTACTATTTAAAAGTCATCATCCATTATGAATATCACATATTGTTAATGGCCCGAAAAACGCTTTCATTATTTGGATTCTCTCCATTGTGATTTACTAGATTTATTTGTGTACATTAGATCATTGAACATCTTTCTGGAAACTGGAGTTTCCTTATTGGAACTCTCTTTCATCCTTGGCAATGAATGTTGAATGCTCTGGGAAGTGTGTGATTGGTTAGCATGGACTGTATGAGATTTTGGCCTTTGACAAATTGGAAAACTAGCTTCTCATTTATGTCTTTTTTGTCTCCTGCCCTTTTGTCCAGCTATATGACTTTGGCTTTCAAGATACTCTTCCCACAAAACCTTCGTGCTCTTGGCCAAAAAGAACTCTGCCTATTCCGACAACAATATCACTGGCCTGACATAAGACAGTTCAGCCAGTGGTCAGAAACAGATCTGCTTTGTGGGTGCTGCCTCCTTCAGAGAAGAAAGCCTGTTCAGTCATTCCAGGGAGGCAATCTAAGCCCACGTGCCACCCGCCTTGTTTTCTTGTCAGGGTCGCATGTGGGACTTTGCAGTGGCCCCTGTGAGATGGCAGAACAACGGTTCTGTGTGGACTACGCTAAGCGTGGCACAGCCGGCTGCAAAAAATGCAAGGAAAAAATTGTGAAGGGTGTATGCCGAATTGGCAAAGTGGTACCCAATCCTTTCTCAGAGTCTGGGGGTGATATGAAAGAGTGGTACCATATTAAATGCATGTTTGAGAAACTAGAGCGGGCTCGGGCCACCACAAAAAAGATTGAAGACCTCACAGAGCTGGAAGGCTGGGAAGAGCTGGAAGATAACGAAAAGGAACAGATAAACCAACACATTGCAGGTGGGATGAAGAATACGGCTTTCTCATCTTACTGGTGCTGATAGAAAAAGGATAGAGTCCGGTCTTTTCTTTCTTATTTTTAACTTTTTATTTAGAAAAAATTTCAAGTACACAGAAGAGTGACAAGGATAAAAATAGAACGACGAACACCCCATTCTATGTATCCAGGTTTACCTATTGTTAACAGTTTTTTACTTTATCATTTGGGTTCATATGCTCACTGTACATATGTATACACACATATTTGTTTGTTTGTTTCTCCTGAATCATTTGAGAGTAATTTGCATCCATCATGGCCCTTTACCTTTAGATACTTCAGTGAATAAGAATGTTCACTTACATGGCCATAATACAGCTATCGATTTCAGTAAAATTTTCCACAATATAATACTTTATTATCTATGTGCTATTTTCTCAGTTGATTGACTACTATCTTTAATAGCTTTTTTTCCTCCAAAATAAGATCTAGTCTAGGATGGGAATAGGTATTGCCTTTAGTTGTCATGTCTCATTAGACTTCTTTAATCTGGAACATTTCCATCGTCTTTTATAACAATTTTTTTGTGTGTGTGGTGATACAGGGGGTTGAACTTAGGGCTTCACACTTGCTACGCAGGCAGTCTACTACTTGAGCTACTCTGCCAACCTGACCTTTTTTAAAGACTAGGGTACCTACTGCCACCCTCTTATCTGTCAGCTTATTATCATGGATTATTGCTTTTCCCAGTGACTTATAATTGATTACTGTACTTAATTAATTTGGTCTTATCCCATATTTGGCCAGTTAGCAGCCTCTTTAAGCTGGCTTCTGTGTCCTTTACACCCTCTCTATTGTTTTTTGTTTTTTGGGGGTTTTTTTGAGGCAGGGTCTCCCTGTATAGCCCATGCTGGCCTTGAACATGGTGATCCTTCTGCCTCAGCCTCCCAAGTACTGGGATCACAAGGTACACTACCATACCTGGCACATTTTATTTCTTTAAAAATTGTTTTAAAGTACTTACATACTTGGGCATAACAAGATGCTGTAAGTCTTATCTGTATGTGTCCTACCTTAGCCTTGGAATCAGCCATTTCTCTGAGGAACCTGGGTTTCTGTTAGTGGAGAATGGTATTAGAGGGCTGATAGAGTGGCTCAAGTAGTAGAGTGTCTGCCTAGCAAGCATGAGGCCCTGAGTTCAAACCCCAGTGCTGCCAAAAAAAAAAAAAAAGGTATTAGAAATCAAATTCTGGATGCTATGAGTACTTGTCAGGAATATATTTGCTTCTAAGCCCTTTGAACCAGTCAGCTACAAAAAGTATGTGTATACACATAAAAACACATACATATGGGGTTAGAGGTCTGATTCAGGCACAAGGCCCTGAGTTTAAACCTAGTGCTGCCTCCTGCTCCCCTCCCCAAATACATGTGTTTACATTTTCACATGTACATGCATATTCATGAGTGTATATAGGCATGTTTTAGGAATCTTAAACCAATATTACCAAATTTATTTAGTACTCTGACCTTTAGTGTCTAACATAATATTCATATCTTCAATTAAGTATGGTTCTGGTCACTGGGAAAACTCACAGTGGCTCTAAAAATAGGTATTTATTCTTGTTCTTTGAGAGGTAAAAAGACTTTCAGGAGAGAAAAACTGCTTCCCATATATGCTTCATTTTCAAGCTCCCCTTTCCCCCTCCCCTGCGTTAGTTATTGGCTTTGGCTTTTGTTACCTACTGACCCTCTCATGCAGAGGAAGAGAAATAGGGGTAGAGTGGAACTATCAAATGACTCAGATAAGTAAACAGCTGGAAATTTTCCTTCTGTGTCAACCTGACATGCTCTGATCTGTCTTCATTAAACTTTTTTGTTCATCTAAAATTGGAACTGTTGTATGAACCTAGGGTTTTGATAGATTTTACCTACCAAAATGTGATTACGGATATCCCCCAAATCATGTTACTTCTGGTTATTATTGTATGTAGGGTAAGAAGTGGGGAATGTTGATGAAAATTTAAGATACTGATAGAGGTAAATGGTAACTAGGTCCACCCAAAACCCTCTTACCTACTACCTCCACTCAGAGAACAAGCCAGCAGTACTGTGGTAGAGATTACCAAGCAAGGCTGTAAGAGCAGTTGATAAAATCTTTAGAAGCTTCCTCAGAGATCTTTCACTCAAGGATATTTTTCCCTCTTTTTGGGGTCCTGCAGATCTGTCTTCTAAGGCAACAGGCACACCAAAGAAGAAAGCTGTTGTCCAGGCTAAATTGACAACCACTGGCCAGGTGACATCCCCAGTGAAAGGCACTTCCTTTATCACCAATACAAGTCCCCGGAAATTTTCTGGCTTTTCAGGTAAGATAGGTTAGGGTTACTTTAGCTGTTAATGGTCACTTTTTTCTTTTGGTATCTTAATTTGAGGCTCTGGCTAAATGAAAATTCTTGGTAATTTGTTTCTATCTGGGCAGAGATAGTACTGGCTAGTTATCTATGCTCCACTTCTGTAACATTTCCTTGTCAACTTTAGTCCCTGTTGTAGCAGGAACACATTTGTTTTGTCAAGACATTTTCCATTTGAAGTTGTTAGCTGGGTCTACAGCCATACCACCCTGAACGCGCCTGATCTCGTCCGAAGTTGTTGGCTGGGTCAAACAGATTTTTATAACCTGCCCTTTCTTCATTTCCTTATGTTTTATAATGAAAGAATTTTAAGAAATTGTCTCCCTAAATTTGCCTGAACTGGAGATGAAAGTATAGAAGAAGAAAGATCTCATGCATGGATTGTATCCCCTGATTTCTCTTCTTAGTTCCTACAACTATTGTAAGGGTTGAAATGTTCATGGAACAAAAAGCAGGAGAGAAGAGAGGATCTGAATGGTGGTTCATTTTGTTGGGAGGCAGGACCATCTAGTGATAGAGCATGTGGACTTGAAATTAATGGCTTTTGGAATCAAATCACATCTCCTAAAGAGTTGGATTGCAGCTCTTATTTGTATGTTGGTATAGGGAAAATGGCCAGCAAAGTGTTAAGTTTTCTTTCTTTTACCATTTACACACATACTTACAATCATACACATACATGTTTTTTTTAATGTAACATACAGAATTACCATTTCAAATCAGGAATGTGGTAAAACTTTGCTAGAGCATGGGCTTCAGACAGGAATTGAGAAGATCAAGAACATTTGTGTCCATAGGTCACAGAAAGCATTGGCCTGGGGATTTTATATATTATTCAGTTAATCCCAGGAAGTACTTTTATTAGGCTGCTTTTATGAATGAGAAAGCTGAAGTTCAGTTTTATAATAGAGTTAGTATTATATTGAAGTCTGTTTGACTCCAGCACCTGTGATCTTTTAACTATATTCTATTGTCTGTTTAATTGTTTGGGAAATTGTTATGAGTGACTCATTTGAAGAAAATAATAAAGCCAAACCCTTTGGACTCAAACTGTTTGAGGACTAAAGAAGCTAGACCTGAAGTCAGAAGAGTTGGGGTCTGGTACCAGCACTTTTGCTTGACAGCTTGGAGCCCTGAGCAAGTCTTTACCTGTTTGAGCCTCGATGGCTTCATCTGTGAATCAAGAGTGGCAGTATCTGCCTCATCTACCCCAGTGTTCTCATGAAGACTTCAGTAGATAACATTGGAAAAACAGAGCCTGATTTTTTATTTATTTTGTTTGTTACATTAAGATAAACGGAACTTTTTCGATTTTTTCTTTCTGCGATACTGGGGTTTAAACTCAGGGCCTTGTATTTGCTAAAAGGATCGTGGTTAGAAGCCAGCCTGGGCAAATAGTTCAGCAAGACCCTATCTCAAAAAACCCTTCACAAAAATAGGGTTGGTGGAGTGGCAAAGGTGAAGGCCCTGAGTTCAAGCCCCAGTACTCCCATACACACAAAAAAAATCTAAGTGACAATAAGGACAGCTTGATTCCGAAAGGATACTAGTCCTGGGACTGGAATTTGGGAGGAATTCAGAGGAATAGGGTGTTCTTGTTTTTGCAACATGACTGAACACTGATGCTGAGAAGACTTTTGTCCCCTAAAATCTGATTTAGACTTCAGATCAGAGATGACAGATTTATAATGTATTCATCCCAGACAAGAAGCTTCTGTCAGCAGCCAGCTTGCTAATGGCTCTGCTTTTGCTTTAGAAATGACAACCAGGTGAGGGAATCACTGGCATTGTACACAGTTATTTTTAGGCATGTGGAGGAAAGCCCTACTTATTGACTACCTTTTATTTTGATAATTAGAAAAGAAAGGTCAGCTGGACACTGGTGACTCATGCCTGTAATCTTAGCTACTCAGGAGGCAGAGATCAGGAGCACTGTGTTCAAAGCCAGTCCAGGGAAATATTTTTTTTAGACCTTGTCTCGAAAACAACACAAAAAGAGGCTGGTGGAATGGCTTAAGTGGTAGAGTGCCTGCCTAGCAAACATGGGCCCTGAATTCAAACACCAGTACCACAAAAAAAAAAAA